TTCTCAAAACATCTATAAAATAAAAATCATGATGTTTCAATACTCCTACTGCTAAAAATCAAGATGATCCATTCTAAAGAAAGTTGCAAATTATAAGAAAAAAGTTGCAAATTATAAGAAAGAAGTTCTCTAAGAGAAACAAGATTTTTGAGGAATCTTTTTAGTGAGATTGAGAAAGCTTTTTGTGGGTTCTTCATTAAGAATGCAAGAATAGATTATCTTGTAATCTCTACTAAAATCTCTCCCCATCGCAAATCTCTTGTCTTTACGCTCTTGTTTATCTTTTCTGTAGTTTTATTGCCTTTACTCTTTTGTTCAAACTAGCATGTTCTTGATATTTCCACATCGTCCAGTGATTTATTGGTTTACAAAGAAGGAGAAGATATAATTAGGTGGCTCAATGAAGCTTTCGCATGCTACACTTCTGCCGATTGGTGTGCAACGATCGGTGTTAGGTTAGGGGTGGCGTGTACCAACAATTGGTGTCAAAGCTAAACTTCGATTAGATCAGACTTGCCTTTGAAAAAATGTTCAATCTTTGTGGCATAAAATCAAAAAGTTCTTCAGCAATGAAGGCAGAGATTGAAAAGCTCAATGGTAAGAGGGATTTTGGGATTTAACAGAAAAGAATGGAGGTGGTCTTTATACAACACGACCTAAATCAATGTTTGCTAGTAGTTGACAAGAAGCCGGAGAAGATGACAAGTGACGAGTGGAACACGATGCATCAGAAGGTGAATAGTATTATTTTGCTTACTCTTTCTTATAAAGTGGGTACCACGTAATCAAGGAGAAGGCTGCACTTAGATGTGGAAGAAACTCGAGAAGTTTTACATGGTCAATAATGCATCCATCAATATATAATAGAAGAAATAGGATAAGTTCGCGGGCTAAGCGTTGCTTCTTTTGCTAAGGGAAGAGTCACACGAAGAAAGAACACTTCAAACTGTAATAAATAATGGAGCAGATGATCTGAACTTTGTATGCAGCAAGTATTGTGGGATATCAACAAGATGATGCATTGGTGGTTCCGGATGAAGAGAGTCAATGGGTTGAGGTGATGATCGTTTCGAAGGAAAAAAGTCTGCGAGTAGAGGTGTTGATGGTTTTCGAGAACAACACCTCCAGTAGTGGTAGGATACTAAATTTCAAAACATTGACTCATAACCATGTTTGACTTCCTCGTGCAAGGAGTCAAGAAGACTATCTACATGGTGAATAGTATGAGGTGCGATGTCACTAGTATAGGTATAGTCACGGTGGCTGGAAGAAGGGGAAGCATGGTCGCCAAGGAGAATGTTTGGTTAATCCCGAAGGCGAGAAAGGATCTAATAAGTATTGGAGCGCTTGACTCTATAGGGTACCGAACCCAAGTGCACGGATGAGTTATCATAGTATACTATATAGCGCTGTAGAAATCTTGTCCTCATTGGAAAGAAATGCAAACATGGCCTGTATCAAGTGTCTAAAGGAATTGATGTTGAAGGAGGAGTTTTGTCTTTGAGAGGGTGTATGACCACATGGAAGAGAAGCTGGAAACAAACTTGGGTTCTGAGGGTGAGCCGAAACTATAGTTTGACTCTAGGTGGAGGAGTTAAGACAAAGACCACAACAAGCCGATAGCCACCCATAGAGGGTGCAACAATGTGGGTTGATGTCAAGTCATTAGAAGTCTTGATGTCAATGCGCGGGCGTGATCGCTCTAGTGCCCTTTGGGAGAGGGGGTTTGTTGATGTTAGATATGAAATAGGAAAATTTAATGTGGATTATGAAGAGCTTTAGTGTCCCTTGATCTCTTTTGATGGTTGATCCCCTAACAGGAAGAGAGTCTTGCACACATACAACATGCTAGAGGATCGGAGTTGGATCCTCTGGTGATTTCTCCGACGATCAAGTTAGTTATAATTTGAGTAAGAGAAAGAAATTGATATAGTTCTCTAAGTGTGCAGAATTTATGTACCTTTGGTCAGTAGGCGATATGCCTATTTATTCGAGTTGATGAGAGTATTTGTGTAACATCGATCGAGTCTAAGCAATTAGCTTATTTGGCTGATACTTTACAGATGTCAACTGTGGGTGGTATGAGTCACTTTTGTGATTAACGCAATGGTGACAGGGACAGTAAGGTGCTGATGAGGTTCGATGAGTCATTAAGACTTTCGGGATAGACCATGCATTTAATATGATGGTGATTGGCTGTCGGCAAGTGATTCGAGAATGATCGCCTCCTGTCTCGGCTTTGCAAGAGGGTCGATAAAGAACGTCTTCGAGGGAGACGAGATGAGACGCCTTTCGTGTTGGCTTTCAATGGAGATGAGAAGTCACTGCGACCGGGTCAAGTCGTTGTGTAGTCTGTTTGAGACACGTGTCATCTAGTTGAATGTGATTAACACTTACTTATTTTTATAACCGAGTGCGAGTGGAAGTTAAATTGTCAAGGCACATTTATGAGGGGCTATTGATGAGTCACTATTGATGTGACATTCTGACGTCAGAGGGGATCGTTCACAGGCGTCGCTTTGACTTTTGAGCAGGGATTACATGACAGTTAACAATTGGTGCCTCGATTCTAGAGTGGTTGCCTGGAATTCCGTAATTAATTCCATCCGTTTATCAATAACCAAGTCGACTGATTTTGCCACCATTGGCGCCAAGATTCATAAATATGCTCCTATGATGTCCGGCCCAATCAGGTTCAACTATCTTTGAAATGGGACTAAAAGTCCAAAACCAAATGCAAACAACTTTGAACAAGCATAAGGCCCAGCTTGGGTCCGTATCCGGCTAAATAACCAGTTTTGTTACCACAAATTAACAAAACCTGAAAACCTTAAACATATTTGTCAAATCTAAGGGCAAATTTTACTAAACCCTCAACAAGTTTGGGCATTTTATACTTAACCCTAAAAAATTTGAAACTCTCATTATATCTTAAATAAATTAACCCTAAAAAAAATTTGAAACTCTCATTATGTCGTAAATAACTTATAGAAAACCTTTAAAAACGTTTTGATTTTTTTTCCTGTACATTGACCCATTATGATGTTTATGTGATAGTCTCTATTTGGTTCTCAAAATATGAGTTGACACAGTTATGAAGATTTAAGTGTCAAAAATCCATAACTTATTGGAGGTTTTCTTAATTTCAGGGCCGGGCCTGGGCTATGGCAGGGGGGCGCAACCGCACAGGGCCCCCGCTGAAAGAGGGCCCCAAAATTTCATAGGGTCCATTAGTTTATTAAATTTTGTATGACCCAAAATCTGGCCCAATAATATTTATAAGCTAAAACTTAGTCATTGAATTAAAATATTGAATTGCCTTATTAATTGCATTATTGTCGTTTAAGTTGCCGAGAAGCACGAAATTGATTTAATCAATCAAACTAACTAATCCCTCCTATAAGGCTATAATGCAAATCTGGAGAGTGGACTCATTGATTTAATCAATCAAACTAACTAATCCCTCCTATAAGGCTATAATGCAAATCTGGAGAGTGGACTCCTCTTTTTTTGCAACAAATTTTATTCAGCCGTTTGACATGTAATTTTTTAACCGTTTGATATTTAATTTTTACTCCTAACATTAAATAATTATTAATCTCTCTCCACTATATAAAGGGATTATATTTCATAGGATATTTTTACTCCTAACATTAAATAATTATTAATCTCTCTCCACTATATAAAGGGATTATATTTCATAGGATGATCAAGAAAAATTTGTCTATTAAACTTCTCCATCTAAAATTTGTTCTCAAAGATACATTACAATTATTTCATTGGCTATTTGGACATTGTCATACACTTAATCAGGTGCTATTATTCCTTTTCTTTTTACTAAGTTATTTGATTGTAATTGTTTCTGTTATTTGTCTTAAATCTCATAGAATTGTTTAGTTATTTATTTAAAGAAAATGGCGCCTCGAAAATATTTATGCGGAAAAGAAAAAAGAAAAAAGAAAAAAACGAGTAGAAGAACTAATAGAGTCACAAAAAGGAGTCATTGATAGATTTTTATCAAAAAGTTCTAACATTCCTGTAGTTAGTGGATCAAATGAAAATTTAAGTGATGAACATATTGTTTCAAGTGAAGATGTTAATGAGCAGTTAGGTGATGATCATGATCATGGCCAATCTTTACCAAATTTTCATGATGATAATACTATGCAGAGTGAATTTAATAATAAAAATTTAGGTGATATTAGTCAATCTTTACCACATTTTGATATATATGAACCTAGTACTTGGAAAAATCTTGATAACAAAGCTAGAGATATTTTAGTTGAGAAGGGATTTGACAGAGAATTAAATATTGACTTTCCTTTAGACGGAGACCGTAGGCATTTTTCATATGCACATTATTCTAGAAAATTGAGTAATGGAGAAATAAGTGATCGAAAATGGTTGATTTACTCTAAACTCGTTGATAAAGTCTTTTGCTTTTGTTGTAAATTATTCAAATCTAATAGCAATACGACTTTATTGGCAAATGAAGGATTGAAAGATTGGAGTCATATTGGCAAGAGACTATCTGACCATGAAAATAGTATTGAGCATATGACTAATATGAGCTCTTGGAATGAGCTAAGATTAAGGTTGGGAAAAAAAATGAAACAATTGATAATGAGTTGCAAAAACAAATTATGATGGAAAAAGAACGATGGCGACAAGTTTTGATTAGAATAATAGCCGTCATAAAATGTCTTGCTAAGAATAATTTGGCTTTTCGAGGATCTAATGAGAAGCTTTATCAAAATAATAATGGTAATTTTTTGGGACTTATTGAGATGATTGTAGAATTTGATGTAGTAATGCAAGAGCATGTTAGACGTGTTCAAAATCATGAAGTTCATTATCATTATCTTAGCAACAAAATACAAAATGAGTTGATTTCTCGTTTAGGCCTTGCTGTTAGGAGCTCTATCATTAAGAAAATTAAAGAAGCAAAATATTTTTTTGTAATCCTTGATTGTACTCCAGATATAAGTCATCAAGAACAAATGGTCCTAGTTGTACGTTGTGTGAATATGTCCAGTAATCAAATAAAGATAGAAGAGTACTTCTTGGAATTTGTGAAGGTAGATGATACATCTGGACTGGGGCTCTTTAATGAATTGTTAAGTGTATTACAATTACTTGATCTTGATGTTGATGATATTAGAGGCCAAGGTTATGATAACGGTTCTAACATAAAAGGTAAACATCAAGGTGTTCAGAAAAGATTACTTGAAATTAATCTGAGAGCATTATATATGCCATGTGCTTGCCATAGTCTCAATCTTACTCTTAGTGATATGGCACATTCATGTGTTAAAGCTATCTCATTTTTTGGAGTTGTGCAACGTATATATTCATTATTTTCGAGTTCTACTAAGAGGTGGAAGATTTTAATTGATAATGTTCCTTCATTTACTGTGAAATCTTTGTGTAATACCCGTTGGGAGAGTAGAGTGAAAAGTGTAAAAGCCATTAGATTTCAAGCTCCTCACATAAGATTGGCTTTGTTAGAATTATATAAAACTTCAGAAGATGCGAAAACAAAGAGTGAAGCTGAAAGTTTGGTCACTGCAATTCATAACTTTGAATTTTTACTTGGTATGATTATTTGGTATGATGTTTTTTTTGCTATTAACATGGTTAGCAAAAAATTACAAAATAAAAATATGAATATTAACACTACTATGAATCAGGTGAGAGACGTGATGTTATATTTTGAAAATTTTAGAAATGATGGGTTTGAGAAGAGTTTGGATATTGCTAGAAGTGTTGCATTTGATATGAATGTGGATCCTACATTTCCAACAAAACGTCGTATCATTAGGAAAAAACAACCTGGTGAAACTGATCATGATGAAGAAATGCAATCCACAGAGGAGTCTTTTAGAGTTAATTATTTTTTAATTGTTGTGGATATGGCAATCAATTCATTAAAAGAGAGATTTGAACAACTAAAGACATTTGAAAGTATTTTTGGGTTTTTATGTGATTCAGATACTTTGAAGTCATTGGATGATAGTAAATTAAGAAATTGTTGCAATCATCTTGAAAGTGTTTTATCTCATAATGATTCATCTGATATTGATCTTAATGATATGTTTTCTGAATTAAGAGTGCTACAAAAAACTTTACCAGAAGTGTCAATGACAGCAATCCAAATTTTGAAATTTGTTAAGCAAGCTGATTGTTATCCAAATGTTTCAATTGCCTATCGAATCTTATTAACTGTGTCTGTATCTGTAGCAACAGCGGAGAGAAGTTTTTCAAAATTGAAGTTGGTCAAAACCTACTTGCGTTCAACAATGGCACAAGAAAGATTGAACAATTTGGCTATTCTAAGCATCGAGAATGAGATGTTACAAGACATAGACGTTGATTGTATTATTAATGACTTTGCATCAAATAATGCTCGAAGAAATTGTTTTAAGTAATTTTGTAATCTTATATTCATTTCATTTCAATAAAATATATTTGTTATAAATAGACAGTTTATCAGTTAAGGGCCCCATTTTTTAATTTTGCCTAGGGCCCCAAAAATCTCAGGATCGGCCCTGCTTAATTTTCCATAGTAATTTGAGATTCAGTGAGAGTTTTAAGACTTTTAGGGTTAAGTGCCAAATATCCAAACATATTAGGGATTCATTAAAATTTATCCTAAATTTATGCTTGTTTTTATTTATTTAATATTAGAGTACTTGCAGAACACTTTCTTATTGCGATCTTTTTTTTTCTTGTGAATTTGGGTATCTTTTTTTCGTTTTGGTGCAATAACTCAGCAAAGGCCCATATCCATGCAAGTCTTTCTAGTAAAAATCAGATGTGAATGGCCGTATCCGGACCCAGGTTAGGTTTGGATTCACTCTTGTGGTTCGGGACCAGTTTGTGACCAGCGGCGAGTGCAGAAATTTCTAATGGGAATGCGCTCAGTGTTTTTTTTTTTTTTTGCTTTCCAGGTTCTGGTATTGTAATTTGGGCTTTTCGTGTTTGAGCCCGTTTTGACTTGATTATTTAGAAATTGGATGTGACAAGTGGGCTGGGCTTGTATTTTTTGTGTGCATACATATTGTAACTGGACCCATCTATATCTTAAGTTTCTATCCAGCTCACCGTTAAATAGTTAAGAGATTGCTACCTCTTATTGCTTTTGCAAATTTGCCCCTGCTTACGTCCTCATCTTCAACAAAAATTCTCATTTCAATATCGCAACCAACTAAACTGATGTTTCCTCTTGGTTGTGACCTTTTATGTCCGAAACATTCTTTATTGCATCTAGTCTACAGCAATATTAATGGTGAATCTTTTTTTCAATTGCTAGGGTCTCTGTGTCATCTAACAAAATTAGCATGAAGGAGAATATATATCGGTAAAAAACAACACACTCTAGACAGAAAATTCCATCTAAAGTAGTCCGATTTTTATCTAAGTTGATCATCCTAAATGAGAATCTGCCTACAATGTTGGTCCGGTAAGTTTCCATCTAGAATGGAGCATTTTAGACGGAAGTACGTCTAGATAAACTATCCTAGATGGAAAGCCAGCTAGACGGATAAAATAATTATCTAGGATACATGCTAGACGAAAATTTCATCTATGATATCCTCGACAGAAGTTTCGTCTAGGACGTATCCTAGACAGACTTTCCCTCTAGGGCATATCCTAGACGGATTTTCCGTTTAGGATGTCCTAGACGGAAATTCCTTCTAGGACAGATATATAACAAATTATTGTGTTATATATCACGCTATTTTTAAAAAAATAATTGTTCGATAAATTAAACATTATCACAACATAAACAAACATATACAACCACATATAGCACGCACATTGAGGATAAATTTTGAAATATTGTTAAAGTTAGGATCAACATTTCTATTACATCATACAAACAACTACGTGTTAATCAGCTACGAGGGGCCCACACGTATCGCTTATTAGCTCAATACAAAATCAACCTCATACTATGTAGGATGACTCAAATGACTTCAACACTCGACCATTTCCAAGAAGGATCTAGTTGAAAGATGTCCTCATTCGAACTTATCATTTGAGTCGACCCAACTCCTTTTCACCCTATGAGGTTTGGTCGAGAACTTTCGAAGCCGAGTAACAAGGCGGTACTTATTGGCCCGCTCGTAAGACCAAAGCGAAAGACGTCACTTGTCAATGCTCTCATAGAGACGAGTCGAGAGGCAATTTCGCCTCGAGCCCCCCACCAATAGTCGATTTTCATCACATTAAATGCATGATCATAGTCATCATTTTTCCAGCACTGAAAATCTTTATAACTCATCGGACCTCATCAGCGCTACGCACACTCTGTCACCCTCGCATTAAACGCCTAAGTAACTCATTTCCCTCTATAGCCGACACCTATAAAGTATCTGCCAACTAAGCCGCCTGCTTGGACTCGGTCAAAATTACGCATCTACCCCTTTGATTTGCTATAAAGGGAAACTGTTGTCTACTACTTAGGATAAGTTGACTCTGAGTAAAAAACACTATACATTCACTATCTTTCTTCTCCACTCAAGCTTAGCACTAACTTGATCGTCAGAGGAATCATCGAAGATCCCAACTCCAATCCTCTCACGTGTTGTTTATGTGCAGGACTGGATTCTCTGCTCAAGAACCTTCCGTCTGAATAAGATTGAGGGATCCTAATATCCTATAGCATCACACATAACTCTCTGTTAGATAACATACATCAATAGTTTCCAATTAGACTTAGTCTCTAAAATTTTCTCAATTAGAGTTAGGATTATTAAAGCTAAATATAGTTCAATTAATGTTATTATTGTTTAAATATGGGTTGTAATAATCAAAATTGTTAATTAAAGGCTAGAATTAAGGAAGTTTTGGCAAGATGCAATTTGATTAGGGTAAGTAACACAATTATATCTGAATAATAAACTTCAGAAGTTATAAAAAATTAATATTTTTATGAAGCACACCTTAAATAAGGGAGAGGACAATATGGGGTGGTAGTAGAAATTTTGAGGCGTAGCAACAACGTCATTGACAGTGATTGGCGAGGTTACTGAGGCACTGTCAAATCTGTAGTTTGGAGAAGAGAGATGATTCAAACTAAAGTTCCCATAAAAGTGAAAATGCAAGAAAATACAATCTCTAAAGATATAAAATTTTACCTCAAAATCAAAATTATTGAAATCAAAATTGCTGATGGAGGTGGTGGAACAGTGATCGCTGGCGGAGTAGGTTGGAGCGGCAGTCGCTGGTGGAGCGGCGGAGGCGGTGGAGCAGTGGTTTGATGGTGGAGTAATGTGTCGGCGGAGCGATCGAGTAGGGTTTCAGCATATTTTCAAAATTTGGGGAAAGTTTTCGAAAGCTAGTGTATTTTCTGATCTTCTTTGAATTTCATTTTTTATGTGGGTCCCACCTTCCTAGATGGAAAATTCATTCTAGGATATTTCCTAGACAAAACTATCCATCTAGGATAGTAGGACCCACGTGAAAAAAGTTTGTCAGGTGGATCTCGTTATCCTAGATGGAATATTCCGTCTAGGGTAAATCCTAGATGGAATATTTCGTCTAGGATGATGGACCCATGTGATAAAATAATAATTAAAAAATATCCGTCTGGAAATACGTATTTAGACGGGTTTCCGTCTAGGATGCTTCATCGCATCCTAGACGGGATATCCTAGATAAAAAATTAACGTCTAGATTGTAATCATCCTAGACGGAAAAGATTCAGTCTAGGATACTCTGTCTAGGATGCTTCATTTTTTACTAGTGATAAATAATATGACCTATTATAAACATATGATTCCATTATTGATACATATGTAAGTTGGGAGTTGTTTTTTCTGCCTCAAGCATCACAATTATAGTTATATTTGATCCCAGAATTGGATGCAATTAATTATTAGATTCAAACCTGTATCTTTACTAAAATTGAACCGACTCTTTACGTGGAGGTTCAATTCAAAAACTAAAACGATTTGCAAATCTAATTTTACATGGTATTGCTGCAATTTTGCGCAGCTTTAATGATGTGGAAGTTTAAATTAGAAATATTATACTAAGATGAGGGACTATGTAGTTATCTGGAGAAATATCTCTAATTTTGAGGAACTGATATTACAAAAAGAAGTTTATAATTCTCATTCAGCTCTGGACCAGTATTTTGTAAAGATTCCCCAATCAGATTTAATTGGCTCATGACCAGATATGTTATTAGTTATATACATACTAGGGAGGAAGGCACGTGCGCTGCATGTTGCACGTGTCTGCTCCATTAAGTTGTTGTACTTCAAATTTTTTATTAAATTATTTCAAATAGATTTTTCTAATTGTTAATTCTATTCTTAATTTGAAGGACTAATTGTCAAAGTAAAAGGATTGAGAGCCTAATAGCAGTTCTAATAATTTGAGGGACTGATTTCAAAAGACCTAATAGCCATTTTAATGATGGGCTTTGCTTCGGTGCTCCTAAAATCATTTATTGATTTATTTTTGAAAAATGGTAAATTTGGAAAAACAAAAAAATATTCGTCCCCACCAATTTCTCATCCACAGAATTCCATCAAACGCGTATAAATCCGTTTAAATAGAATCACAGGTGAATTACGCTAAGAAAATTCATCAATAAAGATATCAACAAGAAATCTAACATGTGAATGAATGCGATACAAGGAAATTGGATCCGAAGAAAATCGACCATCAACCATGTTGATGAACTTAAACAAAGCAATCATGTTCATTCAAAATCTCAGTTGTTTAGTTGAAAATTAATCGAATGAAGGTTCCCAAGGCCTAAGAGAAAGTCAATTAATGCCGGGCTCATACTACAGTTCCTCCATGCAAAAACAATTTATTTCCAGTCAGATTGGCCCGGTGGCGACACTCATGATCTCAGGCTCACTACGCTAGAGAAAGAAGACGCTCGTATGAAGTATTTCATAGGATCGATGACCATATCAAAAATTAAATTCCATTAGGTTTGGCCATCCACGCAATGAATTAGGGGATTGGAGAAGAAAACCACGTCAAAAAAATAAAGACACCGAGAGTTTTTCATTAGTTGGAGAATTCTAACTACTTCCTATTTATCTTCTTATTTATACTTCCTAAAATAACCTTTTTATCTAAGTGAAATTACTTTTTTGGGTGTGGAACTACTGTCAACTACATTATCCCTCAAATATAGGATGTGAGAGAGATTTTTAAGGAAACAAACTACACCAACTGCTTGGGAGCACCGAAGCTGTTGGCTTTAATGATTTGATGGGACTAATTTTGAAATTTGAAAGAATAAGGGACTAATATAGAAAAGGACCTGTGTGGTTGTTGTTATTTGGTGGCTTACTTACACTTTGGTACCCCAAAGTTTGCCCTCATTTACTTTGATGCATCAAAATATTTTTTTAACACTTGGTACCCTAAACTTCCAATCCATTTTCACTTTCAA